AAAAAAAAAAAAAGATGAACTTCTCCCCAAAAAAGACAACATAAATTACCAATATGGAGAATGAGAGAGATAAGATCACTACAGATTCTACAGACCTTAAAAGGATAAGAGATAATCTTATGCCAATAAATTCAACAATTTAGATGACATAAATTCCTTCAAAGATAAAACTATCAAAGACAATACCAGAAATACAAATTCTGAATTTCTCTGTATCTATTAAAGAAATCAAATGTGTTGTGAAAAACCTTTCCACATCAAAAACTCCAGGCTCAGAGAGTTTCACTGGTGAATTCTACAAACACTTAAGGAAGGTTATCATACCAAATCTATTTAAAGTCTTTTTAAAAAATATTGAAGTATCTCCCATCTCATTCAGTACTACCCAAATACCAAAACCAGGCAGATACACAAGAAAAATACAGACCAATATCACTCATGAAAATTGATGTAAAATTTTTAAGCAAAATTTTAGTAAACTGAATCTAGCAATATATAAAAAAGAAAATACATCAGAACCAGGTGCAGTTTATCCTAAGGACACAAGGTCAGTTTAACATTTGAAAACCAGTGTAATTACCACATACCAAACTAGAAAAAGAAAACCATACAATCATCTCAATAAATGCAGAAGCAGCATTTGAAAAAATCCAACATCTATTCCTAATTCTTGGCTAAGTAACATAAATACACTTACTAAACGCACTCTTTCTCCTTGCAGTCTGGTTTCTATTCCACCATTCCACTAAATATGCCTTTGCTAAATTCACCAGGGTCTACTTCTGAAACACAATATAGCATGGTGATTAAAGAGTGTGGACTCTGGAGCTATACTACTTGGGTTCAAATCCCAGCTCTGTCCCTTACCAGGTGTGTGACCCTGAACAGCTGTAATTTATCCATGCCTCATTTTTCCTATACACAAAATGAAGATAATAGTAAGACTTCCCTTATAGGGAGTTATGAGATTAAATGAGTTAATATATATCCAAAGCACAACAGTGAATGGCATTTAGTAAGAACTATGTAAGTGTTAGCTATTAGTTACCTTTGGAAAATACCTAGCACTTAATCTCTGGTTGTTCTCAGATGATCACTCTGTCCATGCTGAGAAGCATTTCAACAGTTTAAAGTAAATCTGAGAGTGCAGTGTGAGCGGTGAGGTCATGGCAGAGCTCGAATGTGAATCCTGGCTCAATCATTTACTGGCTAGGTGTCCTGGGGCACATTGCTTAACCCCTCTGGACCTCTTTTGTCATGTGTAAAAGGGTAATAGTACTTTATTTCTTCAGACTGTTGTGATGATTATGTAGATGTCTCTTTTCTGGCCTCAATCTCCTACTAAGGCCAGGCTTATTTTACCAGGATGCCTTCCAGCTGGACTGGGCTTAGGCCCAGGTTTTCCAGAAACCAACAGTAAATGCTCTTCTCTGAAGAGGTCAATGTTGAAAGGTCAATCTTGTATTCACCCAGGACTTCTAGGGTGTTGTCCTCCCAGAGGCCAGAATGACATCTCAGGGTCAGGAGGGTGGCCTTTTAGGAACCAAGATTCTGATGGGAAGAGCCTGGGCCCTAATGAGCTTATAACTGATCTTTTCTTCTATCTATTAACTGGTGATGTTTCTGTAAGTCAGCTTTGGAATTTGTCATCTCTATTTGAGAGTTAATTACTACCCACAAAGACAAGTAGCTGCAAAAAATCTGTATTTTCACCCTCATATTTCATGAGAAGTTTAATTCTTATTAAAATGCCAATGTTCGGGGCACCTGAGTAGCTCAGTCGGTTAAGCGTCCGACTTCAGCTTGGGTCATGATCTCACGGTCCGTGAGTTCGAGCTCTGTGTTGGGCTCTGTGCTGTCAGTTCGGAGCCTGGAGCCTGTTTCGGGTTCTGTGTCCCCTTCTCTCTCTGCCCCTCCCCCACTCAGGCTTTATCTCTATCAAAAAATGAGTAAACGTTAAAAAAAAATTTTAAATGCCAATGTTCACACTTTAACATGCTCTCCACATCTTTGCACATCCATCTATTGGTGTACAGTGTGGCTCCAGATGAATTTTTTCCCCTCAAATAGCTGATTATCTGTATTTCTGAATATATCCCTGGGGTCTTGATTCTGTGCCCCTGACCCATATTTCTATTTTCAGGCTGGTTCTCCCAAACTTGAGGACTGTTTACAGTCCCCCCCCACCCCCACCCCCCATCATCAGTAGCCATATCTATTTTGCACTTCTCAAGTTTGTTTACTCCAGAATCATCATTGTTAAGTCTATCTTCTGTGTCCTCACATAGAAGTGATTCCATTTCAGTAAGCTTTAGATATGTCGTTTCTCCCCTTCTGGCTGCTCTAATCCAAACCTTAATCATTTTACAGTAGGACAACAGCGATAACCTTGCTGGCCTCCCCCTCCCACCAGACCTATTCCACTCATAACAGAGAACTCACTGACTCACGTTATTTCGAACAGAGCAGTAATTTTGAATTCTATTTAAACCAAATGTTTTAAGACTTGAAGACACCTCCTTACTGACCTTCACCTGAGGACTTCGTTTCCCAACACTCTGGATCCAGGCTTATCAATATAGTCATCTACATTTTCTCTCATCACTGAGTATTCCCCAGTCGTAGGTCCTGATTCCAGAGCCCACAGGCTCTTAACCATCACATGATATAGTATTTAAGAATGTGGACTGTAGGGTCCTAGGTTAGAATAGTTCCATTTCTGACTAGCTGTGTCTTCTCTATGCCTCAAGCTTTATGTGGAAAGCAAGACAATTAAAGTACCAACAAGAGTACCAACTGGTCTCAGCTGTTGCCAGGACTGAACTAACCTATGTAAAGCTCTGTCAGGCACTCAGTAAGCACTGAAAAAACATTAGCTATTACACTAGCATTACTATATTGCCTCCTAACAAGACACCTAGGGTCTGGCACATACTAGGTGGCCCATAAATTGAATATTCATTCCTACCCCTAAATTTATTGAAAACACTAGTGAAAGATAGAAGTTTTAAACTGGGAATTTGACCTACCTTTAAATCTGAGTTGGCTGCAAATTTCTGTCCAATTAAAGCTGCATTTCCTCCTACATAGTGCTGTAAGATAGTTCAAAGTTATCAGACAATATTTTAGCACAACTATGTTACCCAAGCTTAATAATTTTTTAATTTATTGAATTTATAGTCCATTTTTTTCCCAAAACATTTTGAGGCTACCTTATAACAATGCCACACAGATGAGGTTCATAAGATCATTAACCTCATAGGTTAACAATGAGTTACAAGCAAAGGTAAAAAAAAAAAAAAAAAAAAAAAAAAAAAAAAAACAACCAAATATGCCAACCATGAAAATCAATATAACTGTCGTAACTGCAGATCAAATCTGGCCTTTGGTATGCTGGGGTGATAGTCTGAGGTCTCTGGGCCCACCACTGCCTCTTACTCCATGCGAACCTCAAGAAAGTATCTGGACCATGTGGGCCCTCTAAGCTCTCTCCATCTCTGACAGGTTCTACCCCGTAGACTGGGGATTCTCAAAACAATGTCTTCAAAACAACAGCATCATGTAACAAGGAAACTTCCCAGAAGGGAAGTAAATTCTTGAGTCCCACACATCTACTGAATCAGAAACTCTAGGAGTGGAGGCCAGGAAACTGCTTCAATACCCCCTCCGAGTGATTCTGTGTTTCATGTCTGAGAACCACTAATCTAAACCAGCAATTCTCAACCAGTCTGCTTCTCTCCTCTCCCTAACCCTGGAAACTGACCATGTCTGGAGACATTTTTAACTGTCACACCCAGGGAGGGAAGGGAGTGCTACTGTCATCCAATGATTAGATGCCAGAGATGCTGTTGAACATCTCACAATGGGTAGGACAGCCCCTACAACAAAGTATTAACCAACCCTAAGTGTCTGTAATGCTGAGGTAAGGAGCCTGGCTCTGGAACACTAGAGCAGAGGTGAAGATCCAGCTCTCCCTTGCCATGCAAAAGCTACAACTAGTTCTCTGTGTATCTGGCCTTATTCTGCTCAGGAAGGACTCAGTCATATTACAATTATTCCATGTTATCAGCCACAAGCAATACCCAAACAAGTTAAGAGGTAGGTATCTTTCCCACGTTAAAGTTGGGTAATATGAAAAAAGAGCAATTTAAGGGATGAACCAGAACCAAACTCTTAGTAACTATGCTTCATAAATACTGGCTGAATTTAACTGACTGGAAACAGTGGAGTTAATGGAAGTTCAGATATACAGTCCTACAAAAAGGGAAAACAGTACAGAACTGGATTCCCAACAATCACATTTGGGAGAGAATGAAGACAAAGCTTATCAGTTGCTTCTAGGAAGCATACAAAAAGGTATCTTTCCCCACCTTCTCTTAATTTACTGCTGGTGAACCAAACAGACCTGGGCTCCTGGGAGCTCTGATGCAATTTGAGCAATGTCATGGAAAGCTTCCTTATCACTGAAGAAGCGCTCAGCTGCCACTCCCTTCCCCATGAAATGAATGAAAGCTTCTTCCAGATCATTCTTTGAATGCAGAATGGTGTGATCTTTCCCATTCCCAGGACTCAGACCAAGCGCCTCCAAGAGCTTCACTCCTGAGAGCACTACATCCACACAGGCATTGACTCTGGAAGGAAGGAAGGAAGGAAGAGGCAGTGTGAAAGAGAAAACCAGAAGTACCTATTCTGCATTTAACAACAGAGAAGTGTTTCCAGGAACATATTCAAACAGATAAACAGACGAAGTGGATCTGAAACCTTAACTGGGAAGTACACAGCATATGGCAGAAGGAAGTCTTTTATCTGGACGTATGCCAGAATATTTCTGAGGATGGGAACACAGGATTCTTTTCAATAGGTTGGCAAACCTTTGCGAGCTACAAAGAGAAGACAAGTGCTCAGCATTTTAGAATAAAGATATCATGATAACACAAATACAGCATTTCTGAGAAAATGCTGGCAGAGCCAAACTGTCTGGATTCACACTGGCTTTGTGACTTGGGCAAGTCAAATTTCTGTGTCTCAGTTTCCTTATTTATAAAATGGCATAATATGGGTATTTAACTTATAGAACTGTTTCAAAGATTAAGTTAATATATGCTTAGGAACACTGGTGCAAAGTAAGCAAAATGTAAGTTTTGGTCAAAAGTCAAGTATCTGATAGCCTACCTCCAAAGACACATGTGGAAGGTGGCAAAACACTAAATACCTAAATGTGTAAATACTCCCAGCTGAAACTCTTAAGAGTTAAGTGGTATCTTAAAGACTCAGGCACACCTGCAGTCTTGTAACGACTCATCACTTGGCAGGTGTTCACTGGACCAATCCATGACCTTAAAGGGCTCCTAAGAAATCAATGCTGCATCACCTGGTTGGCTCTGTGGAATCAAATTATAAAGAGTTATGGTTGTCTGGCATGGCCTCTCCTATGTGTGCACAGAAAAGTTCTGGCTTATATTTTTAATGTTAAAAAGCCACCCCTTAAAAGAGAAGGGTCAAATAATTTGGGTAGCTAGATGAGGACCTTCTGCCCCCCAACCCATAGTCACCTTTATTTTTGCTTCTATTGGGGATGTCATTCTTGCCAATGGGGCTAGATGACCACACAGACAGCTCGTAAGCCTCTGAGAGAACCTAGGCCCACAGAAGGCCAATAAATAGCTCCTGGGGAGAAGGGGGCTGGGCTTCCAGGTGAAATCCAAGCAGCTTCAAACCAGAAAGTATAATCATCAATAAAGAAAGACGGAAGGACTGGATTCTAGTGTGGAATATAGCTACAATGTTTCCCTTCTAGTCTCTTAAAAAAAAAAAAAAAAAAATCTCTGGATCTGGAAATTAACAAAGTCATTAATGGTGGTAAACCCTAAGAGGAATGAGATTGGGTAAGGGAGAGGAATTTCATTTTTCATTAGATTTCTAATTTTTATAAGCATGTATTATGTTTATAATTGAAAAGCACTATAATTTTTAAAAGGTTCATATGTAGACTAGATATAAGGTTTACAATGGCAAGGAAGAGACACACCTCTCCTAGTGATACAAACTGACTACACCCTCTTCATAAGGATGCTTTATTTTTCTCCTATGGATCCCATGCTTTCAAAAAGATTTCTGCCTACCAATCAGCATTTAAATATTCAAATTTACTTATTCTTTTAAAATTAAAGATACATACATACTCTGGTCAACTGGAAAGGCATAATCTAAGAGTTACTATGCCCTTCAGTGCATAAAACACACTGACATTCATGTGGCAGGAGCTTAACTGTGTTTAAAAAACATCCCTTTCACAGCCCTGCATGATCATAAACCAAGCAAACCTTATAAACCAGTCTCAATTCCACCTCATACAGGGTGTTCTTTATTTCTACTGGATGCAACATTATATATCTAAAGGGTAGACTCTTAACACATCGCCTTCATATCCAGTGGTGTGCTGAGACCTTGAATAGAGTTTGATTCTTTAAAGATGGGAATGGGGGAAGTTTGCAAAAGTTACAAAAAAAACAAAAGGAACAGTGTTCAGCATACTTTGCAATACAAGACAAAACTCAACAGAATTTTGATTTAAAAAAATGTAACTACCGTAGGAACATTTTCCACCCCCCAACTTAATCATGCCATGAATACAAAGGGGAAAAAATCTTATAAAAGGAAAACATTTTATTCAGTGGTTTTTAGTAAAAAGGGATCATTGAACATCTCTGTGCCAGACACCAAACTAAGTACTTCTCCATGTACTTTCTAGTCACCCTTTAACCAGAGCAAGAATCTTCCTCTGCACTTACCTCAATTCAACAGCATCTGAAAATGTAAACAAGCACATTACCTACGTCGCTTTATTACCAGCGGAATTAGAGAGAGGGAGGGAGCAAAAGAACCAGAAGACAAAATTATGCTCATTTGACTTCAGGCAGAATTTCACAGTTGAGTACAAAAGGTATAAAAGATTGTGAGTTTGGAGAAAAGGAAGACACAGATGCAATCACTGGAAACTAAAGCAAGGCAACAGATACTGAATGTCCAAACAAGAGGAAGGACTAGAAGGACAGGGAAGCCTGGGCTTCCGTGCCCTACTGCCAGAGGTTTGTTGGGGGGCTGGGGAAGGGGGCACAGTTCCCCTTCTAGACTGTAAATTCTTTAAAGGCAAGGATGGTGGTTCTAATCACCTCCCTTCTGTTTCATTATCTGTAAAATGTTTCCTTAAGTTCTTCCTAGCTTTAACCCTATACCTGAGATATTTACAATGGGTAATCATAATCACCAGAAGATGCAGAACTGCAGAGAAGAGAGATCCAAAGGTGCAGGGGCAGTGGTCCCTGCGCTGAACTCTGGATGGTGCTCTGGTCAGAGAGAGAAGGCTGGTATTTCTGAAGCAATGCATGTGAGGCAGGTGTTTTCAGAGAGATCACACCAGTTTGCAAAACACGGTAAGATAGGCAAGTAGTTCTCACTGCTTTCAGCTGAGAAAAGCTGAGGCTGGAGGCTGACTGACATTCCAAAGGCCACAAATGGAGGAGGCTAAATTCAAACCCAGATTTATCCGATACTGAAGCCCTTGCATGCAGTGTGCACAAGCACAGGTGCAGATGAAGAGATTAACTTTACGTGTGGATACAGGTAAGAATGTGGTTAGATACAGGTTAGAATGGAGAGCTGAAGAGAGGAGTGGAGTATGACAGGCTTCAAAGGTCAGGGAAAAGCCAGGTATTGGGGAATGAACACTAGGTTCATGATTCACTCAATGGGTCTCAGGCACCAGAGTCCGATTTTGGAGCAGAGGAGGTGGCACATTTCAGAAAGGTGTGGTAGCATGCCCACCGCTGACCATCTTTCTTGAAACATGTCCTATCCGTTTTTTCTCTGGGTCCTTTCCACCAGCCCCCTACATGCTGGTGCCTCCCAGAATTCCACCCTTGCCATTTACTTTCCTTTCTTGCTCTCTTCCGGGGCAATCCTATCCAGTCTCTGACCTCAACTTAACCACTGGCATCTCCAAAGCCTGCAAGCCTGCTCCTCAATATGCTCCTAAACTTCAGCCTCACTGTCAGCTGAAGGCTCAGTTTCATTTGAAATCCCACAAGCAGGCACAGTGCCCCCTCCTCTGAAATCCAACCTGTTACTTTTCAACACAAACTCGATCTCTTTTCTTAGTCTCATAGCAGTAATGTGGCATGAACAAGATCGGAGCCAGAAACCGGCTTACCTCGTGACTTTGGTAGTTAACAGCTGTGTAATCTTGGGCCAATCAATACTTCTAAAGCTTTGGTTTACTTATCTATGAAAACTGGATGACAATATTTGTATCTATGTACATAAGGTTATAAAATGCCCGATGCTAAAAACTTGTCATTCTGGACTGCCTTTCTTTACCACACTCAACCTGTTAACAAATTTCACATTTAGTACACTGCGAATAAAAAAGGCTCTTCTCTCCCTTCACCCAGACCCTACGACGGCCTCTTAAGTTAAGGTCAGGATGTCAAGCCTTTCCTCCTTATCAACCACACTACATTGTGCATCCAGAGTGCAAGTGAAAGTGTGTGTTCTCCTGAGAAGTCAAACTACAACATCCCCTCCCCCAAATGAAATTCTAGTACAAGTACTGCAACTTCTCTCACCTACTCCTTGCACATCACCATCTTTAGGGCTAAATCCCTGTGGGTAATGAAAAACGTTACCAACAGATGTCTGTTACCCACAAAAGTGATGTGAAACTGCCAATCGGGTTACAGCCATGGCTCAAAACCCACCCTTTACGTTCCTACCAGTTATTCTCAGCAAAGAACTTAGTCTTATTTACCTGCTTATAAACCGTTACTGCTCTCCTACCACCTACCCTGATATGAAAGGCCCTTCTCAGCATCATTTACTCACCTCTCTCTACCATAAGGTCCTTGCCCTCAAAACAGGGCCAACTGGCTGTTCCTAAACTGTGTACTTCACATTTGGTTCTCTCTGCTTAGGTGGTCTTATCCCCCCACCCCACCCCACTTCTGTGAAGAAATCCCATTTTTTCTTCAGGGCCTATCCCAAGCAGTCACTATAGCAGATTATATTGTCCAAGATGGTCACAAGATGTTCCATCCTTTTTACAATGTGATGTTGACACTCCTTCCATCAAGACGTGCTCTAAGTCCCATCCATTTGAAACCAGCTGGACCTAGGACTGTGGTAGAAGTAACACTGTGCTTTTAAGATTAGGTCGTGAAAGGCATTAAGGCTTCTGCCTGGTCGTCTTGGAACATTCTATTTACTCTGCTATGAGAAACCTACATAGCTAGCTGCGCAGAACGCCTGTAGGTGCTCAGGATGTAGCTGAGGCTGTAGCTGACAACCACAATCAACCTTTAAAGAGGATTCCAGTCCCAGACACCATCTGACTGAAGCTGCCCCTCCAGTGAGAACTGCCTAGCAGAGCCTAACTGAACCTGAGAATCAGAAAAGATAATAAAATGACCATGTGTTAAGCTACCAAGTTTTGGGGTGATCTGTGATTTAGTAAACGTAACATCACCTTCTCAGAGCATTTTCCAAAGCCTCATCCTGGGAAGAATTAGTAATCCTTTGGGACACAAGGCTACCTTGTTTTTAGCCCTAGTTCTGCAAAGCACTTCTGATAACTGTTAGAGAGAGCACTGTGTGCCCCTGTCCCCCACCAATTCGTATGCTGAAGCATTTACCACAAATGTGACTGTTTTTGGAGATAGGGACTATTTAATCTAACAGGGCTAAAGTCCATATAAGAGGAAGAGACACCAGGAGTGTGCATGCACAGAGAAAAGGCCACATGGGTACACGGTGAGAAGGGGGCATCTGCAAGTCAGAAAGAGAGGACTCACTAGAAACCAATCTTGCCAGCACCTCACCTTGATCTGAGACTATCAGCATCTAGAACTGTTGAGAAAATAAATTTCTGTTGTTTAAGCCACTCAGTCTGTGGTATACTGTTATGGCAGCATGAGCACTAATAATAAATATATCTTTTCAACAAATGAGGCGGGGATCTTGCTTCACCCATTTCTGTATCAGAACCTAGCACAGACCTGACACATACCATGCAGTTGATGATTTTTGTTGAATGTGCATAAAACCAGGGAGGACAATTAAGAAGCTGATAAGGAAGTTGGTGAAAGGGCCTGAACTTGAAAGAAGAGATAAAAGGGGATATATCTGAAGAAACAATACACTGGTATGAAAAAACAAAACAAAAGGAAAAAACTAGCTAACGTTTGAGTGCTCTTTACAGCAGAAGGCATGCTAGATTACACGATTATTTTGTCTAACCTTCAGGATAACTTGGCTCTCTACCTTAGCCTTCCCCCAGCACTCACAAAAACCAGCAGAAATTTCATAGATGGCCTGCTTTTGTATGGTGCTTTAAAGGTGAAGACAAGATATTTAAGTCGAACTGAGACAGGGTTTAAAGTTTGTGTGAGGAGAACAAATACATTTTTTGGAGAGGAACACAAAGAAAGGAGGCGCTGTGAGCTGGGAGAACCTTATATATGTCATGTCACTGAAGTCAGGGGAAGAAAAGAGTTTCAAAAAGGGAAACTCTTTAGCGCGTGCAAGACTGCAGACAGTTGGCAGTGAAGACAAAAAAAAAAAAAAAAAAAAAAAAAAAAAAAAAAAAAAAAAAAAGGCAGTTGAACTGGAAAATCAACAAGTCACCAGTGAGTTTTGAGAGAGTAGTTTCAGTAGAGTGGGGGTCTCCCGGACGTTCAGGAAGCGAAAACAAGGGAAATAAAGTCAGCAGTTAAAGGCAGCGACCACGCCACTCAAGAAGTTCAGAAGCAAGAGGATGAGCGCCGTAAGACCAGGTGTCTTGGACCGCAAAAAGGCAGACGAGCCGAAACAGGAATGAAGGAGCCTGGAACATGAGGGTGTCAGGCTGCGCGGGATTTGCAAGAAGCTATTAGGCTGGTCCTACCAAGACGAGAGAAGGATGCAGAGGCTAGCCGAGAGCAAAAAGCAGTCTGGTGAGTGCTTGCAGCAGCGACGAACGGGGCTCGTCCTAGACGTCTGACGCTTCTCGTCAAGGAGGCAGCGTGGACACCAGCGCCGAGGGGCCTCCCGGGGACATCTGGGAACCCCTGTTTCCGCGCGGCTCTACCTCCCAGCTCCCCAGCCGCCCGAACTCCGCCAATGTGGCCCTAAGAGGCCCGGAGCGCCCGCACCTCCTTGGAGAGACCCTGAGAGTCAGGCCCCGCAGGCACTCACCCCACGGCCACGCGGCGCCAACGCCGGGCCGGCCGTACAATGAGCGCGTCCCAGGCGGCCGCCAAGCGGCCCTCAGGGGAGCCGGGTCCCGGGGGCGCGGGCGCCAGCTGTAGCGAGCTCCACAGCGAGCGCAGCGCCGAGCCGGGCAGCTGTGGCTCCAGCAGGAGGACACAGCCCACCGCCAGCGCCAGGAAGCCGGCGTACGCAGAGCCGCGCCACAGCGCCATGGGGACCGAGGCGCCGCAGCGTCCAGACAGCTCCTTTCCCGGCCCGCGCCTCTTCCGTCTCTGCGTGCGCCGACGTCCACACGCGCCACGTCACGCCAGTGCGCCGCGGCCCCCGGGGGCGGGCTGGGGGCGGGGCTCCGCGCCTCTCCGCAGGCGCCAACTCTGGCGCTGGGGGGCGCGGTTGCGAGGCCCTGCAGAAGGTTGGACAAAGGTCCGAACGCGGAGCCAGGAGGCAAGCCCCGCGCGTCTCCCCACCTCCCAGGTCCATCCCGGACCCCAAACCAGAGGGGCGAGGGCACGTTTGTTTTTCCAATACGAGGGAACCGACGGATTATGAAGAAGCGGGCCAACCTCACGTTAATCTTTGAGCCGGTCAGTGTCCCCGCTTGAGCAGCGCCTGCGTTTGCCGGGAAGGACACCAGTTACACTCCCTGTCTTTTAAGCCATCCCTCCGCGTGTGTCCATCCTCCACCGCTGATTTAACAATACCTCTTCCTCCCGGGGGGAATTAGCTCAAAGGGCAGCAGCGCCGCAGCGAGCCCCTGGGGCGCGCGTGGCAGGGGATTCTGCTCCTTTACAGGGTAGCCGAGGCCTTCGGCCACTCGAGGCCCATTCCAGGACGGGAGAGCCAGCAGTGTTCCTCCTCTAGAGATGATCACATTAAAACCTTAAGATAACCCTGGGGGGGGGGCGCTGTTCCCTTTAACAATATCAGAAAAACGCACACAGGCACACAATCTTGTGTTAGGGAGGTTATGGACTTGGGTTAAGGAAGACTGGTTTCTCTTCTTTTCCCTTGGTGGTAGGGCTTCAACCCAGGTAGGCCCTGTCTTCCTCGTTGGGGCCCTCTTTCTACGAGCCCACATTGAAACCAGTGAAGCTAGGCTTGTTGCCAGTTCCTTCTCAGTGGCCACCATGCACCTCCTGGTCTTCTTCCCTGGCTTGTTGCCATTTTTTCTCCTGACTGGCTTTGTGTCGACTTTCCACTCTGCCTCTGACCTTTGGACTTGGCAATGAAACTTAATTTCCCTAGCTTTGATCTTGGGCTATAGGGTTTATTCCCCCACCTCCCACACTCCCCAACCCCCACATCACCTGCTCTTCCCCCTCCTGGCCATCTACCTTCTCCTAGCTCACCCCATCCAGCCCACCTGATCCCTGATCGTAGCAGCCTTTTCAAAGGAGATGTTCACACAGGAAGAGATTTGGGCTGCTATAGGAAAAGAAAGAAGCCAAGGAGCCAGTAAGATTTGCGTGGAGCCACAAAACTGTCTTCTCTAGAGTTGCCTGTCCCTTCTCTCTCCTGAGATGTGTCCAATCAGCTCCTAGAGAAACTATTCCCTCTCATGGCCCACAGTGGGCATGTTTCCCTACCAGCCCAGAGATGACTGAACCAGCACCTAACTCAAAAGCAGGGAATCCACCAATGGCAGAGAACACTTCTCAATTAGCAATAATTTTGCCTCAGATAAACCTCATTGGCTATGATACTGCCCCTGCACAAAGCTCACAGAACACTTCTCTCTACTGAGAATTTGGACCAAGAGTCAAGAGTCCGTGGCTAGGTGTGTTTGTTTGTTTTTCTTTTCCTTTTCTGGACCCGCAAGGTCACATAGGCTTGATGGTCAGATAGAGTTAGTTAAATATATTTCCAAGATGAAGTTTTGGGGGCGCTCAGGAAACTGTGGGAGGACCATGGAGCAGACAGTCCTAGAGATACAGGGAAATGCTCCACACCAGAGTCATGTGGAAACAAAGCTGCCTGGGGCGTTACCTTCTGGCCCCCAAGGTAGCTGCTGAACTGCCAGCACTTTGAAACTAATGCTTCTGCTTCTTTCCAGGCTTGCCAGAACTACCCCCGCCCCCTTAACCCCTTAAGGGGGGTTATATTAAGATATAATTGACATGTCAGTTATAACACTGTATAAGTAAGGTGTCCAACATAATGATTTGATACATGTATATACTGCACCATGATTACAATAAGTTTAGTTAACATCACTACCTTGCATAGTTACAACATTTGTTTCTTTGTATTTAAGTTGTACTCTCTTAGCAGCTTTAAAATACATGATACTAGGGGCACCTGGGTGGCCCAGTCCACTCAGCATCTGACTTCTGCTCAGGTCACGAACTCACAGTTCATGAGTTTGAGCCCGTGTCGAGCTCTGTGCTGACACCCCAGAGCCTGGATCTTCTTCAGATTGATTCTCTCTCTCTCTCCCTCTCTCTCTCTCTCTCTCTCTCTCTGTCCCTCCCTGCTCATTCTCTGTCTCTCTCTCAAAAGTAAATAAGTGTTAAAAAATGTTTTTTAAAAATACATTATACTAGAACTTTGGATTTAGCCACAGAAACAAAACTACAGCAGCTTGAATAAAATGGAGATTTATTTCTCATGTGAAAGTCCACATGGGGTGCCGGTACTCTGTGGGCTGCAGCCATCTGCCCATTGTTGAGGCTGCTCTGGGGCTCTTGCTGGTTGGTCGCTCAGTGTAGGTTTGTGTTGTGGGTGATGGCAGGGCTGGACAAAGAGCCCAGAGTGTGGACCTCAGTTCCAACTGAGAACAGCAGGAGCTATAGGAAGAATACCAGTTACATTTGCCAGTCATGGCAGAGTCTGATGTGACTTCTGGTCACCTGTACGATCACAGTGGCCTTAAATTCCCTCTCACTTATCAGGAGCTCAGGGGTGAGCATTCAGCTATTTTTGGTGCTACAACCCCGCTTAAAATATTTCCTTAATGAAAAATAGTCATTTTGGATTCTGATAATCTTATCTGTTTAGAGAGTCTGCAATGCATTGCAAGCAATTTTTCTAGAGGTTAGATTTCTGGGGGCAATTATACAAAAGAGCCCAGAATGGGCAGCCGTGGCTCCATTCTCTAGGCTGAACAAAGAAAAAGGGGCTGGGCAGGCCTTAAGACACCCCTTCTCCCCACTCAAATTGCTTCCAGACATGGCCTTTTGCAGTTGGTTCTCTCTCTTAGGATCTTGAAATGAGAAAAAAAAGCAGTTTGGTTCCAGAAAATTCAGAGGCAAATGGAGGCCCCAGGTGTCCCCCCCCCCAAGACCCTGACCTGGAAGGCCAAGGTGCAGATCCCATATTTCTACAAGGAATTAGCAGAGTGCTATCAGTTCCCAAATTAGCCTGAAGCTTTGGCTTTGACAACAACACAAGTCAACACCACCCATGTGATCAGAGGGGTTTTAAGGAGCAAGTTTGTTCCCACAATGGAACAGAAACTAAAGTGGTACCAAACAGTCCTTATGTAAGCTGGGCTAACCCACTTTTCCACAGTTGCAGGCCTGTGGCGTTTCATCCAAGCTGCTCTCCGAAGTCCACACTGTGTCAAGGCCTTTGCTCAAGCCAGAGACACAGACCACCACAGGCCACACCCAAAGGCCAGAGTGAGAGCTCAGCTTTGAAGATTGTAGAAAACTCTAAGGAGACAAAAGAGAAGGGATAAAGGATTCTAGGATCTGAAAAGAGAAAGTTTTATGTCTGCAGCCATAGCCCTGGGCAATCAGACACCCTCCTCCCTAATCTGCCATCAAGAGGGCACTAGAAGAGCTAGGAGGATAGGTTGCTGAACAAGGAAAGGCAGAGTGTTAAAGGCATAGGAGCCAGGTGATAAGAATGGCAGCTGCAAATCATGATAGTTCATGGACATTAATAGGACCTCCTGCATAGATTAGGGCAGAGAACTTCTTAGTTTGTGGGATGCAACAGTGTGGTGGCGCTGGATTTCTTTGGGCTTTGGGATTAAGTGCTTTGGGCCAGGAGGAAGTGCTGAGCATGGGAAAGTGGGAGAGGCAGAGCTGCCTGGGCTTCTATCTGGCAGGGGCCTATGAGCTTCACAGGGCAAATGTGTAAGGGGGCCGTGTGAGGCATGCTTCTGGAACATAGCTGTCACACTGGCTGCTGTAGCCTGTTCACACTAGGGACCCTCCAGCTTGGTGCTCCTCTGCAGGCTGTATAAACCAGCCCTGCTGTAGGTCCTGGAGGATGATACAGCCATCAGATCTGGGTTCTGTAATATTTGCCGTGTATGTTTAGAAGGAAATGGAAAGTTTGCCTTTTAACTGCATTTCCTCTCTTTTTATTTATTTTTTTATCTATTTATCTATCTATCTATTGATTGATTGATTGATTGATTGATTTTTAATTCTTTTAACATTTATTTTTTTAATTTTTTTTCAATATATGAAATTTATTGTCAAATTGGTTTCCGTACAACACCCAGTGCTCATCCCAAAAGGTGCCCTCCTCAATACCCATCACCCACCCTCCCCTCCCTCCCACCCCCCATCAACCCTCAGTTTGTTCTCAGTTTTTAAGAATTTCCTCTCTTTTTAAAAAATGTTTATTTATTTGTTTTCAGAGAGAGAGTGGGAGAGGGGCAGGGAGAATCCCAAGCAGGCTCTGTGCTGATACCCAGTGCTTGAACTCATAAACCATGAGATCATGACCTGAGCTGAAATCAAGAGTTGGATGCTTAACCAACTGAGCCACCCAAGCACCCGTAACTATATTTCCTTCTTGTTTCAAGAACCCTAACAATTCTATACATATTAATGCTTATTTATTTTTGAGACAGAGAGACAGAGCGTGAGCAGGGAAGGGGCAGAGAGAGAGGGAGACACAGAATCCGAAGCAGGCTCCAGGCTCTGAGCTGTCAGCACAGAGCCTGACGTGGGGCTTGAACCCACGACTCATGAGATCATGACCTGAGCTGAACCTACTGAGCCACCCAGCAACCCTAACCCTAACAATTCTAGGACCACTTAGTCCAGTAGTTGTTTTCCAAAAATAAATAAAGGAGAAAATAAAAGGAAGCAAAAACATCCAAGTGGTATGGCATGTCTGGGCTGCTCTGGAGCGGCCGGGGGCCCAGGCTTGCTCCGTCTTTTGCCCTGCCATCTGTAGGGTGATGGCATAGAGGGGAGGGTGTGCCATGATAAAATCGGGGTTCGGAAAGAAAGGAGAGTTGGCACATGGC